TAGTCTAGTCTAGTCTAGTCTATAGTCTATAGTCTAGTCTATAGTCTAGTCTAGTCTATATTCTAGTCTATATTCTAGTCTATAGTCTAGTCTATAGTCTAGTCTATAGTCTAGTCTATAGTCTAGTCTATAGTCTAGTCTATAGTCTAGTCTATAGTCTAGTCTATAGTCTAGTTTATAGTCTAGTCTATAGTCTAGTATATAGACTAGTCTATAGTCTAGTCTATAGTCTAGTCTATAGTCTAGTCTATAGTCTAGTCTAGTCTATAGTCTATAGTCTAGTCTATAGTTTAGTCTAGTCTATAGTCTAGTCTATAGTTTAGTCTAGTCTATAGTCTAGTCTATAGTCTAGTCTATAGTCTAGTCTATAGTCTAGTCTATAGTCTAGTCTATAGTCTAGTCTATAGTCTAGTCTATAGTCTAGTCTATAGTCTAGTCTATAGTCTAGTCTATATTCTGGTCAATTCTATAAAGTAGTTTTTAGACTAGTCCACAGTCTACTCTATTTCCTAGTCTATAGTGTGGTATATAGTTTAGTTCATATTCTGAACAATAATCTGGACTATATTGTGTTTAACCCTTTACAAAATGTAAATTTCTAATGGAATTTTCAATGATTTGTTTTTGCGTTATTTTAATTTAAGGCGAGATCAAATACATAGAAATTTTATATTATTAAAAAAGACATGCAAGTGCATGCATAAATACATATTTTTATTTCATTTCACTTTTCTTTATGCCATAAAGTAAGCGGGTCAATAAGCAAATGACGTGTCTGTTTAACAGGAAATAAAAGCAAAAGAGAGAAAATGACAAGGTTTTGGGCTTGACTTGTTTTAAATGACAGTAATTATTGTTTTATTCCTTCAAAATATTGAAGAAAAAGTTTATTAAATTTACAGTTTTTGCTAAGGTGCAGCTTAGGTTCTACTAAAATGTGTGTATTTTGCAAAATATTAATTCTTACTATATTTATAATCGTATTGCATTAAAACAATAGCATTCGATATGGTGGAGCCAAAGGTGGCAAATGACATGGAACGACTAAATTGAAATAAACCCAACAATTTCATTTCCAAAGGAAATAAAGCCAATTGTATGGAAAAATCTTTTAACTGTAAATAAATGTACAAAAGGAAAGAATTATATATATATTTTTTTAAACAAATGATAACTTGTTAAGTCATGTTTCATTAAGTAAATGTAAGGGGTCATGCATGACCAGAAATGAAATGTGATGAAAAAGATGATGATATTATAATGTGGTTTAAGTTATTAAGTTAATTTTAATCTCTCTTTACTACTCACACTCTTTTCAAATCTCTCATCCAATGTTGGCAACCAGGGTTGACGATTTTTCAACAAATCAGCTGTTCTCTGCACATTATCACAAAAATTCAACATGTTTACCATAAATAAATGTAAATCCATATAAAAGAAAAATAATAATATTGATAAAATTATCAAAGTCCATAACATGCTTAATTCGGACAGCTTCTCATGTTGCACAATCATATAGCCCATGTAGAGAATATTAATATTATTCATATACACAGTCAACGTTATACAAGCACCCTGCCAATCATAGATTCGTTGCACTCGCTCCCCTATACGTTGTAATTTATATTGATTGACTGCCAAGTCATCTAATTCATCCGCCAAATTGCAACATGATGTTATCAGGGCTCCCGGTTTGATTCGTTTCAAACGTTGTAACTTAAACAAAACCGAGGAAGTATTTAATATTCTTCTAACCTCCTCATTGACAACAGCTAAAAGAGCATTGACATTGAGTAAAGCGAAAAAGTGATGAGTCATTATGACATTCAAAACCGTGGACATGGCTCCTAAACCTGTTATAATTAACGGTGACTCCAGATCAAAAATACCCCGTAATACATCAAATGAACCATAAAATGTTATAATATTCGATATAAAACCCCAATAGAATTTCGCTCTTATAGATTTCTCAAAATAGCACTGCACTTTCACTGACATTACATATTTTTTAAATAAATTATAACGTAAATGTTGAAAATCTCTTATGGTTCTCATAAACTCTTTACGTTTGATCCAATTTAACATTACTGTTATTAAAACCGCTATTATCCGTACCAAACAGATTACGGCAGTGATTTTGTAGTGAAGCTCAGGGCCATTGGCATTTCTCGGTTTCCATTGTACGCGAAATAGCAGAGCTACCGAACTAAACATCAAAGCACTGACCAGACAGCTGTACAAAGTGATGATAAAGTTTGTTTTCAATTTACCCGAGTCATAGTTGTAGGAAAAGGCCACTATACCCAGTAATTGTGATATGTAATAGACGCAGATTATCATCCAACGTGTTGTTCGTTTCATGGTATTTTTCGTATTGCCGGAAGACATATGATACTTCCGTCAATGTTGAAGACTTATTTAATATATTTGTACATTAATGATAGATTTGTTATAGATAATTAATCATTACCAATCAGTTTTTTATTGTCGTCCATTAGCATAGTTTTTAATTAAATACTTGTTTCCATTACGAACTCATTCTTCATAATGTCTCAGCAAATTTTTCTGCTACAAAAACAATCTTATATCGGTGAATCATAATAAAGTTGTATGGTCAGTTAGCTTTGAATGCAGGCTGTAGTCTAGTCTAAAATCTGGACTATAGTTTAGTCTATAGTCTGGACTATAGTCTAGTCTATACTCTGTACTATGTATGGTCTAGTCTGTAGTCTGAACTATGGCGTAGTCTATAGTCTGGACTATAGTCTAGTATATACTCTGAACAATGTATAGTCTATGTGCCGGACTATAGTCTAGTCTATACTCTGTATAGTCTAGTCTATATTCTGGACTATAGTCTAGTCAACAGTTTGGACTATAGTCTATTCTATAGTCTGGGCTATAGTCTAGTCTATAGTATGGACTATAGTATAGTCTATAGTTAGGACTATAGTCTAGTCTATAGTCTGGACTATAGTCTAGTCTATAGTCTGGACTATAGTCTAGTCTATAGTCTGGACAATAGTCTAGTCTATAGTCTGGACAATAGTCTACTCTACTAGAGTCTAGTCTATAGCCTGGACTATATTCTAGTCTATAGTCTGGACAAAAGTCTAGTCTATAGTCTGGACTATAGTCTAGTCCACAGTCTATAGTCTGGACTATAGTCTATTCTATAGCCTGGACTATAGTCTAGTCTATAGTCTGGACTATAGTCTAGTCTATAGTCTAGACTATAGTCTAGTATATAGTCTGGACTATAGTCTAGTCTTCAGTCTGGACTATAGTCTATAATCTGGACTATAGTCTAGTCTATAGTCTAGTCCAACGGTTCCCAAAAGGGGGTCCGCGGACCCCTAGTGGTCCGTAGCAAAATCCTAGGGGGTCCGCGAAGACGAACGAAAAAAATCATGAATAAAAAATATTCTCTATATGTTAGAAAATATTAAAAATATCTCCAAATTTTTCATAAATACTAAAATACACAATTTTTATTCAATAATCCCAGATTTGTTGGTGACTTTTTGAATTTTATTGTTTCGGTCGTTTATCAGGATGAAGCTAGGCCCTACAAATTTATTGTTTCACTTTTATAAAGTAAAGTATTACGTGATTTGTAATTTTTATAAATGTATATGTATCGAAATAAATGTTTTTATATTAGACGGATAATGATTTGCCTTAGAATTAAATACTGATACTGGTATCCCGGAATATGAAGTTAGGTCACATTTCATAATATTTTTATAAATTGTAAGCAAAAGTGTTAATCTAGTTAATTTTAAATATACGTGACGTGATACACAGATTTTAACTTCATTTTGTTGTCCAATATTATTAAATCAACATCAGAAAATTCATAGCGTTTTGCGTAAATAGTCAAAACCACGCAGTAAAATAATTAGTAGGTATTTTAAAATTCAAATTTAAGATCTAAATTCACAGTACATTCGCAAAGAGTTCAGGTCATATTTTATGTGGGTAACGCATTACGCAACAACATCGAAGAAGTCTAACTTTCACATATTTTCCCGAAAACTTAGCTTACATACTCAGCTCACTCCTATGCAATCGCAAAAAAATTTAGAAACATGACTCTTTAAACACATGTCGACAATACTTGATAAAGAAACCTTTTCGCTACCTTGGCGAGAAATGAACATGAAAGCTCTCACGATCATAAAATTAAACATCATGTTAGAAGTCATTCTATATTTAAAACCATGTAATTGAAAACATCTCCGAAATACTAAATATTCTCAATGTACGGGAATATTTTATAGGGTTTATGGACCAGGACTAAGACAATTTTCGTATGAACAATTATTTATAACAATAATATATCAAAATATGTATGGGGGTCCGTCAAATTAAATAAATTCCTCAAGGGGTCCGCGAAGTAAAAAACGGTGGGAACCGCTGGTCTAGTCTATAATATGTACTATAGTCAAGTCTATAGTCTGGACTATAGTCTAGTCTATAGTTTAGTCTATAGTCTAGTACATAGTGTAATCTATAGTCAGGTCTAGTATATAGCTTAATCCATATTATGGACTATTGTCTAGTTTAAACTCTTTTCTGCAGTTTGAACTATATTATTTTCTTTATCCTTTGCCAAATTTTTTATGTCCTTGAAATCGTACACCCTTTAAAAAACTAATCTTTCTAATTGTGTTTTCAATCATTTTTATTCTCAATTTTAATTTAAGGTGAGATTAAGGCGAGAATATAAATAATTTCGTATTAGTAAAAAAGGCATGCTAGTGCATGCACAAATGTTTAAAACATCTTTTATATTATTTGCTTTTTCCTTTACCTATATGACGTGCCCATTTTACAAAAAGTAAAGGGAGAACAGAAAAAATTAAAAGGTATTGGGCTTGGATTTTATTCAAATGACAGTAATTATAGTTTTATTATTATTTTTAAAAAAGAAAATAATTTTAAAAATTTACAATTTTTACTAAGGTGCAGCTTAATGTCTGTTTTTTTTCTAAATATTAATTCTTACTATATTTATAATCATATTGCATTAAAACAATAGCATTCGATATGGTGGAGCCAAAGGTGGCAAATGACATGGAACGATTAAATTGAAATAAACCCAACAATTTCATTTCCAAAGGAAATAAAGCCAATTGTATAGAAAAGTCTTTTAACTGTAAAGAAATGTATAAGAAGAAAAACAAAAAGATTACAATTTTAAAAACAGCCGATGAATTGCTAGGTGATGTGTCATCAATTACTTAAGTGCATGTCATGCATGACTAAAAATGAAATGTGATGAAAATAGGTGATATGGTTTGAATATGGTTAGAAGATCAGATGGGAAAACTATAGAAATGGTTAATTTATTGATATTTATTTGCAAGTTATCCATTTAATATGCATTCCGTCTTTACTACTCACACTCTTCTCAAATCTCTCATCCAATGTTGGCAACCAGGGTTGACGATTTTTCAACAAATCAGCTGTTCTCTGCACATTGTCACCAAAATTCAACATGTTTATGGTGAATAAATGTAAATCTTTATAGAAGAAATATAACACTATTGATACAATTATAGAAGTCCAAATGACGCCCAACTCTTGTGATAATTCCTCATGCTGCACTATCATATAGCCCATATAGAGCACATTGATATTATTCATATATAAAGTCAACATTACACAAGCACCCTGTAAATCATACAAACGTTGCACTCGTTCTCCTATAAGTTTAAATTTATAATGATAAAATGCCAAATCATCCAATTCATCGGCCAAATTGCAACATGTTGTTATTAGGGCACCCGGTTTAATTTTTTTCAAACGCTGTAGTTTAAATAAAACTGAGGAGCTGTTTAATATTCTCCTCAGCTCCTCATTGACAACAGCTAAAAGAGCATTTACATTTAGTAAAGCGAAAAAGTGATGAGTCATTATGATATTCAAAACCGTGGACATGGTTCCCAAACCCGTTATAATAAGCGGCGACTCCAGATCAAAAATTCCCCGAAGTATGTCATAAGAACTTGTAAACACCATAATATTCGACATCAAACCCCAGAAAAATTTGTCTCTTATAGATTTCTCAAAATACTGCTGCACCTTCGTCGACATAACATATTTTTTTAACAAAGTTGATCTTAAACGTTGAAAATCTCTTATGTTTCTTATAAATTCCTTGCGTTTGATCCAGTTTAGTATCACACTTATTAGAACCGCTATTATACGTACTAAACATATTAAGGCAGTGATTTTAAAATGCAGTTCGGGTCCATTGGCATTTCTCGGTTTCCATTGTATACGAGGTATTAGTGCAACAGAACTAAACATCAAAGCACTTACCATACAACTATATAAAGTAATGGAGAAAGTAGTTTTCAACTTTCCAGTATCATAGTTGTAGGAAAAAGCCACTATACCAAGTACTTGAGATATGCAAAAGACGCAGATAATCATCCAATGTGTTGACCGTTTCATGGTTTGTTACGTATTGCCGGAAGACAAATAAATCTTCCGTCAATGTTGGCGGAAGGAGTATGAGTAAAGTACTTTAACGATAGATTTATTAGATAGTTTATCGTTACCAATCAGTTTTATTATTGATATTCATTTACAAAGTTAATAATATAATATTTGTTTCCATTATGCACTCATTTCTTTACAATTCCTCAATTAATTTTTCTGATAAAACTCACTCATCATGGTATAATTAATAGTGAAGACTAGAATAGAATAGTCTATAGTCCAAACTGTAGTACAGTATATAGTCTGGATAAAAATAAACTTTATAGTCTGGACTATAGTCTATTTTTCTGTCTGAATTACAGTCTAGTTTATAGCCTGGGCTATAATCAGGCCTATAGTCTGAACTGTAGTATGGTCTCTAGTGTGGACAATAGTATGGTCTATAGTCTGAACTATAATATGGTCTATAGTACGGACTATATAATAATCTATAGCCTGGGCCATAGTCTATAATTTGGTCTGTAGTCTAGTATATAGTCTAGACTATAGTCTAGTCTATATTCTTGACAATAGTCTAGTGTATGTTCTGGACTATATTCTGAACTGTAGTCTAGTCTGGACTATAGTCTAGTCTGGACTATAGTCTGAACTCCATTCTAGTCTGGACTTTAGTCTGAACTATAGTCTAGTCTATAGTTTGGACTATAGTGTAGTCCATTGTCTGGACTATAGTGTAGCTTATAGCCTGGACTATAGTTTAGTCTATAGTTTATATAGGGCCATAGTATAGTCTATAATTTGGTCTGTAGTATAGAATATAATCTAGACTATAGTCTACTATATTCTTGACAATAGTCTAGTGTATGTTCTGCATTAGAGTCTAGTCTGGACTATAGTCTGAACTATAGTCTAATCTGGACTATAGTCTAAACTATAATCTAGTCTGGATCATAATTTGAACTATAGTCTAGACCACAGTCTGAACTACAATCTGGGCTATAGTGTAGTCTATAGTCTGGACTATAGTTTAGTCTATAGTTTGGACTATAGTCTAGTCTATAATCTGGACTGTAGTCTAGTATATAGTCTGGACTGCAATATACACGGTATTATGTACTATAGCTCAGTCAATAGTCTAAACTTGACTCTAACCTATATATTATATAGCCTATGCTAGGGACTATAACATTCTCTATAGTCTGGACTATAGTCAATGGACTACAGTCTAGTTTATAGCCAGGACTGAAGTCTGTTACTTTTTCAATAGTGTGGATTATAGCATAATCTGGACTAAAGTTAGACTATAGTAGACTATATTGTAGTCTATTATCTGTACTATAGTCTAGTCTATAATCTGGACTATAATATAGTTAGCATTATAACAAATTCCATTATCTGGATTGAAGTCTAATATATAGTCTGAAATATAGTGTAGTCTTTAATTAGGCTTCTGTCCACTTTTTATTTTGGACTATAGTCTAGACTAAATTTTGTTAGTCTATTTCTGAACTATAGTATAGTCTGAAGATGTGCAAAGAATATATATGATTAATTAAAAAAGTGTGACTTGCAAAAATCATATGGTGAAAAATGTTAAAAATATATTAATACTTTTGTTACTCACACTCTTCTCGAATCTCACATCCAAAGTTGGCAAGCAGGGTTGACTATTCTGCAGCAAATCGGCTGACGTCTTTATTAAATCTCCAAAATTCAGCATATTTATTATGAAGATATTCAAATCCATGTAGTAGAATAATAATGATATTGGTATAAAAAATAAAACTAAAATTCCGTAATCCTGTGACAGCTGTTCATGCTGTACCAGCATATAGCCCATATAAATAACACTGATATTATTCATATACAATGTCAAGACTACACAAGCTCCCTGTAAATCATACATACTATTCACTCGAACACCAATATTTTGCAAATTATATTGATTAATGGCCAAAATATCCAATTCATCGGCCAATTTGCAGCAGGTCGTTATAAAAGCTCCTGGTTTTATTTGTTTAGCTCGTTGCAGTTTAAACAATTGCAAAGACTTATTCAAAATTTTCTTTAACTCCTCATTGATGACGGCCAATAGAGTATTGATATTGAGTAGAGCGAAAAAGTAATGGGTCATTACGACATTTAAAACAGTGGCCATAATGCCTAAACCGGTTATTATAATGGGCGATTCAATGTTGAAAATGCCTCGTAAAATATCATAAGAACCCACAAATGTTACAATATTTGACATAAAGCCCCAATAGAACTTAGATCTTATGGCTTTCTCAAAATTTTGTTCCACTTTTTTAGACATGACAAATTTATTTAACAAACATTTACGTAAATGTTGAAAATCCCTGATCGTTCTTAAAAACTGCTGACGTCGGGTCCAGTTAAAAATGATCGTTATCAATATGGCTAACATACGTATCAAACACATTAAAGCGGTGATTTTAAAATGCAATTCCGGACCATTGGCATTTCGTGGCTTCCATTGTATGCGCGTAAGTAGTGGCAGTGAACAAAACATCAGGAAACTTATCAGACAGCTGTAGGATGTGATTACAAAAGTTGTTTTTGTTATGCCCGTGTCATAGTCGTACGAAAAGGCCAACAAGCCCAGGAGTTGTGATATATAATAAACGAAGCCAATCATCCAACGTGTTGACCGTTTCATGGTGTAATTTCAAATGATTTGTTTACTTTAGGGACGGATTTGACTTTGGTCATGTGACTAACTCAAGTTGTTTTGTAATAATGTATTAGTTAATTAACGTTTCATTAGTATTTAATAAATTGATTATTCACTATATACGTAGATATGTCTGTATAAAAGTGCTATTACGAAATAAATGAAAGAAGTTACTCGTTATCCACTTTAAAGGTCGAATAATTTTATATCTAGCAAGTAGCAGAAAATTTATTAGCGTAAGTGTTTTTTCATCCTTTCATATTTTTAGAATTTAATTATTTCACGGAATATATATAAACCACATTTATTTTCGAAAACACTATCTACATTAACATATGTTGTGAAACTTATATATTTTAGATTGAAATGTAAATGTTGAGTATTTATTTTTTCATAAATATAGAGTACATCATTCGATTTTCAATGACAGTTCTGTCAAAATAGTATTTGCACTTTATTAATTTATTAAAAATGTAAACAAAGTCAGTAATGAATTAAACGTTTTTTAAACAATTGGGCTACTATCAGTTTAAAACAATATGGTCTACAATCTAGATTACTATAGTATATAGTCTAGTCTATAGTCTAGTCTATAGTCTAGTCTATAGTCTAGTCTATAGTCTAGTCTATAGTCTAGTCCATAGTCTAGTCTATAGTCTAGTCTATAGTCTAGTCTATAGTCTAGTCTATAGTCTAGTCTATAGTCTAGTCTAGTCTAGTCTATAGTCTAGTCTATAGTCTAGTCTATAGTCTAGTCTATAGTCTAGTCTAGTCTAGTCTATAGTCTAGTCTATAGTCTAGTCTATAGTCTAGTCTATAGTCTAGTCTATAGTCTAGTCTATAGTCTAGTCTATAGTCTAGTCTATAGTCTAGTCTATAGTTTAGTCTATAGTCTAGTCTATAGTCTAGTCTATATTCTAGTCTATAGTCTAGTCTATATATAGACTATATATAGACTATATATAGACTAGTCTATAGTCTAGTCTATAGTCTAGTCTATAGTCTAGTCTATAGTCTAGTCTATAGTCTATTCTATAGTCTAGTCTATAGTCTAGTCTATAGTCTAGTCTATAGTCTAGTCTATAGTCTAGTCTATAGTCTAGTCTATAGTCTAGTCTATAGTTTAGTCTATAGTCTAGTCTATAGTCTAGTCTATAGTCTAGTCTATAGTCTAGTCTATAGTCTAGTCTATAGTCCAGTCTATAGTCTAGTCTATAGTCTAGTCTATAGTCTAGTCTATAGTCTAGTCTATAGTCTAGTCTATAGTCTAGTCTATAGTCTAGTCTATAGTCTAGTCTATAGTCTAGTCTATAGTCTAGTCTATAGTCTAGTCTATAGTCTAGTCTATAGTCTAGTCTATAGTCTAGTCTATAGTCTAGTCTATAGTCTAGTCTATAGTCTAGTCTATAGTCTAGTCTATAGTCTAGTCTATAGTCTAGTCTATAGTCTAGTCTATAGTCTAGTCTATAGTCTAGTCTATAGTCTAGTCTATAGTCTAGTCTATAGTCTAGTCTATAGTCTAGTCTATAGTCTAGTCTATAGTCTAGTCTATAGTCTAGTCTATAGTCTAGTCTATAGTCTAGTCTATAGTCTAGTCTATACTAGTCTATAGTCTAGTCTATAGTCTAGTCTATAGTCTAGTCTATAGTCTAGTCTATAGTCTAGTCTATAGTCTAGTCTATAGTCTAGTCTATAGTCTAGTCTATAGTCTTACCGCAAGGGTATCCTTTATAGGATAACGGGTTTAACGACCCCGCGGACCCTGAGTTGTCGCAGGTGTGGAGAGCGTACCAAAATAGGTACAAGAGCTCAGAGAAACCCAGCGTCGGGGCGAGTGGATGCCGCCCTTGAATAAGTGTCTATCAATATAGTTCCTCCCTGTGGGAAAAAAAAAAAAAAAAAAAAACCGGCCAAAACACCAGCGGTAAAAACATCACTCTATAGATATTATCCTGCACTGGCAGTATATCTGTAAAAGAGTAATATCTGCGTTGAAACCCTATTCCGATGGAAAAAAGCTCTACACCTGCCCAAACTACTTATTCCCGCCGAAAGGCATTAAGATCAAGCCCAGTACGATCTTAATTATGGCATTTCTGGACCAATGTTTTTGATTTACGATTTTTGGGCCGACAGCTGCGGTAATCTGGAACCTAAGTAGTCAGAAGTGATATTCTGTTGAAATGGCTTCCAGGCAAATATCACAACTGCCTTCCGTCCTAGTAAAATTTGGCAAATCTTAAGGTACGTTCGAAGCTTCGTCATCATTCAGTTGGTGGTGCAGGTTCGGATGAGTTTCCCGATTAACATGGATCTGGCACTGGCTTGTAGACTCATAAGGACTTCAAGTCAACCCTTGCATGGCCTCCCTGCTAGCATAGACAACCATGGGATCGAAATACATGACTGCACAACGGGCGGAGATAGCGGCCTTAAGTTTGGACCCACAAATATGCGTACTGAAAACAACAACAACAACGATAATAGCATTAATACTGCTGTTAACAACCACACAGAGGAAACAGTTGACTCTTCTGCGAGAAGTTCGGTAGTTGTACAACCACCAATTGCATCGGCAACTGCCGTTACCGAAAACCCCAGAGAGGCAAAACTAGGTAAATTAGGCGAAAAAATATCGCAACTAGTGAGTTATTTCAAAGGTAGAAACAATATACATAAAGAGATAATATCAATATCCCTAGAGATCCAAGCGATATTTATGGAAGTTTTTCCAGAGCATTACGTACCACAAGTGAATCAAATTGATCCTGCATCACTTGACGCGAGCAACCAAAGGGACGAAGCAGTCCGTCCACAGCCACCACAACTGAACACCCCAAAGAGGAAAAGAGATCAAGTATCACAGAGCCCAAAAGGTAACAATCCTAAGAAAAAGAAGAATGCAAAAGCCTCAAAACAAACCAGTGAAAATAAAGAAAACGAAACATCGAGCAACTCCAAGGACGAAAATGTGGAGAAAACTGGTACTGAACCTAAATGGGTGAAAGTTAATCCAAAAGCGAAGAAAAAGAAAAAGTATCCACGACCAGATGCCCTTGTCATTGAAACATGTGGTGAAACAACATATGCGGATATCCTTAAAAAAGTAAAAACGGATCCGAAGTTAGTTGTTCTTGGCCAAAATGTTAAGAGCATCAGGAAAACTGCAAAAGGGGAACTGCTTCTTGAATTAAATAAATCAGCCCACCAGAGTACGTCCGAATTCAGTCAGACAGTCAAAGAGGTCATTGGCACAGACGCAGCAGTGCGAGTAATGATAAACGAATTGTTCTTAGAAATCAAAGACATAGATGAAATAACCACAAAAGAAGAAGTTCACGAGGCCCTGATTAACCTATCCGAAGATTTTAAAGAAGTGCGATTAACGGCAGTAAAAAACATGAGAAAAGCATATGGTGGTACCCAAATTGCAACCATTGGTATCAATGCGATATTAGCAAACAAACTTTTAGAGCTTTCTAAGATTCGTATAGGTTGGGTTATTTGTCGTATACGAGAAAAAATTGCACCTAGGAGATGTTTCAAATGCCTAGAGTTTGGTCATCCAGCTGCAAAGTGTAAAAGTATAAATGACTACACCAACAACTGCCTGTGTTGTGGAGAAATTGGACACAAAATAAAGTCCTGCAAAAATACTCCAAACTGTTTGCTTTGTAAAACTATCGCGGCAAAAAGTGACCACACTACGGGGGCAAGAGTGTGTCCCTTCTATGTTAAAGCGCTTCAAAACCTAAGCAAACGCGCATGAAATTGCTCCAACTAAATTTAAACCATTGCCAAGCTGCTCAAGATTTATTGGACCAAAGTGTACGAGAACTAAACATTGACGTTGCTATCCTTAGTGAGCCATATCGCTGCTACATTTCACCAAAATGGGTTAACGATAATTCAGGTACATCTGCTATTTGGTCTAGAAGAAAACAAATGTCGCAGTCCATGTCCACGATAAAAGAAGATGGTTTTGTTAGTGCAAATGTAAATGGAATTTATATATACAGTTGTTATATACCACCTAGATATACGGATGAGGATTTTAAAGTGATAATTGCGAGGCTGGTGTCTGACTTGCTAAACAAGGATAAAGTATTGATAGCAGGAGACTTCAATGCCTGGGCTACAGAATGGGGTTGTCCACGTACAAACAGAAGGGGAAATATTCTTTTAGAATCACTTAGTGTTCTTGATATTGTACTCCTGAATACTGGTAATGAGCGTACGTTTAGCCGAAATGGTGGAGGTTCTACAATTGATATAGCTTTTGCAAGCTCAAACATTGCAAATCGGATCAAATGGTCTATCAGTGATATCTATACACATAGTGACCATTCCGCAATTATTATGGATATGACCGATATATCACGCTCAAACTCTGTCCTGAGGAAACCCACGACATTAAGCTGGAAGACGAATACCTTCGACAGTGAAATATTTAACATGTGTGTAAGCGACTATTCTCTAAATGGTACGCCGGCGGTTATGGCAAAACAATTTGTAAACAAATTAACACAAGCGTGCAATGCCTCTATGAAACGAAAGAGACAGGGTCCGAATAAAACACCAGTCTACTGGTGGAATGAGGATATTGCTCAGTTACGTAGGGACTGCATCCGCGCCAGAAGAATCTTTGTGAGAAGAAGAGGTACACTGGAAAGTATTTTATACCATCAAGAGCTCAAAGCCAAGAAAAAAGCCCTCAAGAATGCAATACGTCATAGCAAGAGAACTAGTTTCCTTAAAATATGTGACGATGTCGATAAGGATCCGTTTGGAATGGCCTACAAACTTGTGACTAAAAAATTAAACAGTCATAGTATACAAGCACCTAACGACGCCCGTGTACTAGAGAATATAGTGCAACACCTGTTTCCAAATCAAGGAATAAGCTCATGGGAGCACAATATTCCTGATGAAACATTTGATTTTCCGCCAGTAACGCCAAACGAAATACAGCTGGCAGCCTCAAAATTTCAAGACAGGAAATCCCCAGGACCTGACGGTATACCTAACCTCGTCCTGAAACAGATTGCTAAACATTTCCCCGAGCAACTCACTAAAATTGTCAACACATGCTTACAACATGGACATTTTCCAAAAATATGGAAACGACAAAGGCTAGTACTTCTCCCTAAGAATAATAAACCATTGAGCAACCCGTCGTCATATCGTCCTCTATGTATGATAGACACGTGTGGAAAATTATTAGAAAGCGTTGTCTGCAGAAGACTAGAGGAAAGTATTGAATTGGTAGGTGGACTTTCAAAAACCCAGTTTGGATTCAGAAAGGGTAAATCAACAATGGATGCAATTAAACTCGTAGTTGATACAGCTAAAAGTGCAATAAAAGGAAAAATATGGAGAAATGGTACCAAAAAATATTGTGTAGTCGTAACATTAGACGTCAAAAATGCTTTTAATACAGCTAAATGGGATAAAATATTAGATACCCTAGTTCGACTTAATGTTCCACGCTACTTGGTTGCAATAATACAGGACTATTTTAGAGATAGAGTCCTGATATATGACACTGACGAGGGTGTAAAGGAATATAAAGTTACAGGAGGAGTACCGCAAGGATCCGTCCTTGGGCCAATACTCTGGAATATAATGTATGATGGAGTTCTACGAATAAATCTTCCAGAAAACGTCCAAATCATCGGATTCGCGGATGACTTAGCTCTCGTAGCTGTGGCAAAATATACTGCAGAAGCGACAACTATATCAAATAGTAGTATACACCTGGTCCGTGCTTGGCTTGATAAAATGGGTCTGACTCTAGCAGAACATAAAACAGAGGCTGTGCTAATAAGCAGCCGTAAAGTCAGAGAAAGTATTACTCTCACAATTGGTAACTGCACAATTGAAACGAAAGATCAACTGAAATATCTCGGTTTAATCATAGACGATCGTCTATCGTTCAAGAAACACTTGGAGTATGTAGAGACAAAAGCAAGAGGCACATGTAATGCCCTCTGTCGCATAATGCCTAATACCAGAGGTCCTAAATACTTACGAAGAAGGCTACTTGCAGGTGTTGTAAGGAGTATTATAATGTATGCTGCTCCCGTATGGGCAGAGTCAACAAAATTTCGCTCTTATCGGAATAAGTTAACCTCTGTGCACAGATTGGCACTACTACGTGTCTGCTGCGCCTATCGAACAGTGTCAGATGAGGCGTCCTCAGTAATATCTGGCATTCTTCCTATTGATTTACAAGCTAAGGAAGCTGAGAAGATTTTTACAAACAGACATGATTCAAATCCTGACTCTGTCCGTCAGATGGCAAGAAACGAAAGCATAGCTATATGGCAAAGGCAATGGTCCACATCTACTAAGGGTAGATGGACATGGGAAATCATTCCCGATGTCGGAACCTGGGTAAAACGGAAATTTGGTGATCTGGATTTCTACCTCACTCAGCTCCTGAGTGGACATGGTTGCTTTAAAGCATACCTGTATCGTTTTGGGCGTGAAAGTGATCCATATTGTCCTAACTGTTATAACGTACAAGAAGATGCGAAACATGTATTCTTCGAATGTCCAAGATTTGTCAATGAGAGAAGAGAACTCGAAATGAATATTGGTGTCAGTATAAACACAGGAAATATAACACAAATAATGCTACAATCAGAGGAAAATTGGAGATTTATATGTAACTTCACAAAATCTGTACTTCGGGAGCTCCGAAGTCAGGAAGACATACGAAGAAGAAATTAGTATAAAAAAAAAAAAAATTGAGATTGGTGATTTACACCTATCCCTCCCTGCGAGGAAATACTTAACGGTGGTACCGCAGGGACTATGGACCAGTAGTAGGGGTGTTTTAGCGTGTTAAAGTCTCGCACATTGTCTTTTGATGATTTCACCTCTTTAAAAAAAAAAAAAAAAAAAAAGTCTAGTCTATAGTCTAGTCTATAGTCTAGTCTATAGTCTAGTCTATAGTCTAGTCTATAGTCTTTGTGATCACCCCTAATGTATGCGCATAAAACATTTACTACCCCTCTCCTTTCAGTGCTTATACCGGCATTAATTTAGTCTAATTTTCATAACCCATAATTCAGTTATTAAATACTACTACTCACAACACAACAACTATGAGACGGTCAACGCATCTAATGATAGTTTGTTGTTATTACTTTGCAAAATTATTGGGAATTTTAAATTTTTCATATGACTTTCGCACGCGCAGAGCTTATAAAAATATCTACGTCACCATATACGCTGGTCTTCTAAATGTGTCATTATATGCGGTCATACCTTATATCGGCATGACCATGAAATTAAAAACAAGGCCACCGGGAAGTGAAGAATTGCTGTATAACTTAAGTGTTCTCATAACATTCATACGTATTGGAGGCGCATTAACCAGCGTCATTTTTAATTGGACAAAACGTCAAGAGTTCATTAAGCTCATAAATTCTTATCAACTTTTCTGTGAACAATATTTACAAAAATATCACAAGCATGAACATTTCATAAAATATATGGAACAAGGTGTTAGAATCAAATTTCTATGTTCTTTGTTCACCGATTTAACAGTGCTCACAGGTTCGCTGCAAATATTTCGTGATATATTTGAAAACTCTAATATATTTATACTATTGGCTCTGGCTCTTATACCTAGTGTTTTAAATAGGATAATGTTGCATTACTACTTCACCTTACAAAATATTAATGCATTATTGAAAATTATAAATGAAGAATTGGAGGCGATTTTGAAAACGACAACAACAGAAGGTGATAACAAATGTAAAGGTATGAGTAATTACGTCAATGTTCTGGCCAGTATGGTTATACAGTTGCAATATTATGTGGCACGTTTTAATCGGATATACGAAATACAGGGTTTTTGCTGCATGCTGACAGTTTACGTCAATAATATTTGTATTATTTATATGACATTTATGACTTCGGCATCTGATAATTTATGGAATCAATTGCATACTTTTAAAGGATTTAGAGCAATTTTTTCTCTAGCTATACATTATTATGATTTAAAATTATTTATGTGGTCCATGTTGGATGCTTCAAGATTGGTGAATAGATTGGGAAAATTATTAAAATATAAGCAGTCGTTACTGCCTTGTGGCGATTTAAAACTGGAGAGAAGTGTAAAGTTTTGAATGACAAGTTTGTGATCTTTTGTTTTAAATATTTTCCCTTGCAGTTGCAGAACGTTTCTTTGCAAATGGCCGCCTTACCTTTAGAAATTGATTTGGTGGGTTTGTATGTGGTTAAAAAACCCATTATTTTTGCACTTTTTGGTTCAGCTATAGCAAATGCTATTGTCTTAATGCAATATGATTTTAAATATAAATAATTAAATTTTAAATCAATAAATTTTATCAATAACACACCAAACTATAAATGTAATAAAATGTTATTATTGAAGAAAAACTGATTTAATCAAGGCTTAATAATGAAAATAGGGGAAATTCTCCGAACTCTGAAGCAAATTCTAGAGCAAGTAACATACATTCAATATTGTTACAATTACATATAGATTATAAGTTAAGATTATTATCTATTGTAGACGATATTACATCTACAGTTAGTCATATTCCCCTTAGTGTTAATTAAATTAGTTTTTAATAGTTAATTTGCACTAGGTCATCAAGAGAAAGGATTTAAAATAATGAATTCATTTTAGAGTTAATTAAAAAACTATTAATTTCTCTTTGAAATTAAACATTAAAAGCTTTTAATATAAATTTTCTATTGAATATTGTGCACTAAAAGGTTTACTATACAAATAGTCTTCTACCGAGAAAATAACTTAAATCGAAAGCTTTTTATTCTAAACAGTGTAAAGCTAAAGCTTTATAAGACAAATTTCGATTAAACATGGCAAAAGCTTTTTATATAATAATAAAATATCTATTTACGACAATGCAGTTTAAATTAAAAGCTTTCAGTAGAAAATTATGCCAGATATTTTTTTATAAATAATAGCTTTTGTTAAAAGTTTTCCACTGATAAGTACATAAAGCGAAAGCTTTTTGCATAATTCTAAAGCTTTCTTTAGAAAACGAAATATAAAATCTTTCTATTCGATAACGTCAAATTCTAATTGAAATTTACGAGTTTTCTATAGAGTTTTTTCAAAGCAAAAGCTTTCTTTGGAAAATTGTCAAGGAAAACAATTTCTACGAAATTTTCTTTTCCTAAGCTTTCTGCTGAAAGTTTAAAAAAGCAAAAGCTTTTCATAATTAAATGGGTAACGCAAAAGCTTTCTACAAAAAATGAAAATTACAGCTTTATATGATTGAAGCAAAAGCTTTACTCAAACTTAACAATTTCTATTCGAAATTAAAACTTTCTATTCTATATTAAAAATTCCTAAGTATCCAGAAGTTGAAGAGACTTTATTCTAGCAAAAGAATAAAATCTCTTCAACTTCTGTCTTAAAAATACTTACCACCACTGCTAGTTTAACTAAGCTGCAATACATTCGTCTTTTATTTTACGTCTAAACATGAAACGGTCAACATATTGGATGTTAAGCACGGTCTACATTTACGCTCAATTATTGGGAATTCTGAATTTCTGCTACGATTGTCGTACGGGTAGAGCGCATATAAAACCTCACATAACGGTCTATTCGGCCGTAATTAGCATAACAATGTTCGGTGTTTTAACGTATTTCTTTTTGCACATGGAAATTAAAAGTCATCCCCCCGGCAGTGCAGAATTACATTATAAATTAAATTTTTTAACCTCGATTATACGTGTAGTTGGAGTTATATTAACAGTTTTCTATAATTGGACTAGACGTCGTGAGTCGGTACAATTGATAAATTCTTATAGGAAATTTTGTAAGAAATTCCTACAAAAATGGCAAATGGAAGAAAGATATATGCAATATCTGGAACACGGTATAAGAATCAAATTGAAACGTTCCTTTATAGCTGATGTGTTAGTGTACGTAATCATAAATCAACATTTAGGTGTAATTTTTGATATGGAGAATCGTTATATTTTACTAGCCTTGGCTTTGATACCCACAGTTCTAAATGTTGTTATGACTCTATATTATTTTGCCATTTTAAACATCAATATTTTCATGACTATTATCAATGAAGAAATTAAAAGAATTTTAAATACCGCAAATACAATTTGTAAATCAGGAGTGAGAAATCCAGTAAATTATTGCCTCTTGGCTGATCAACTAGACGAGTTGTCAGTGACTCAATGTATATTAATAAATTATTTGAAACGCATTAACAAAATATATGATGTATAAGGGGTTTGTGTAGTGTTGGATTTATATGTGAATAATATTTGTGTGATTTATATATTTGCCATGTTATCCAATCATCTCGATATATGGGCCTCTTATGGCGAATGGGTGGTATATTTTGTACCAGTTGCACTTTTTATATGTTACCTGGATATACAGTTATTTATATTCATCATGCTAAATACCGTGGATTTGATGGAGAAAACTGGAGACTTATTAAAAGGGCGACCAATTTGGAATTGTAAATTAGATAATCGTTTAGAGAGAAGTGTAAGTTGAGATGTTTCGAACGATTGAGTCTATTTTCAAACTTTAAAATTGGTTAAATTTAATTTTTTTCCTCTAGCTCGACAACTTTTCCCTGCAGCTTGCTCAATTTCCTTTGGAATTCGATCTGATAGGCCTATTCAATATGAATCGTCCTATGGCTTTTGCCATTCTTAGTTCGACCATATCAAATGCTATTGTTTTAATGCAATACGATTTAAAGTATACGAAAAGTAATTAAATCACATCCATATTTTGAATTTAAATTTCAAAGTTTAATAAATTGTTAAGTGAAAATATTAAAGTCAGTATTAATTAAAACAGCTTTATAAATTGTTAAATGAAAAAAGTTTAAAATTCTTTTACAAAAATGTTTTATGAAAAAACTAAACAACATATTTTAGACTAGACAACAGACTAGACTATAGACTACACTATAGACTAGACTAAAGACTAGACTAAAGACTAGACTAAAGACTAGACTATAGACTAGACTATAGACTAGACTTTAGACTAGACTATAGACTAGACTAAGACTAGACTATAGACTAGACTATAGACTAGACTATAGACTAGACTATAGACTAGACTATAGACTAGACTATAGACTAGACTATAGACTAGACTATAGACTAGACTATAGACTACACTATAGACTAGACTATAGACTAGACCATAGACTAGACTATAGACTAGACTATAGACTAGACTATAGACTAGACTATAGACTAGACTATAGACTAGACTATAGACTAGACTATAGACTAGACTATAGACAAGACTATAGACAAGACTATAGACTAGACTATAGACTAGACTATAGACTAGACTATAGACTAGACTATAGACTAGACTATAGACTAGACTATAGACTAGACTATAGACTAGACTATAGACTAGACTATAGATAGACTATAGACTAGACTATAGACTAGACTATAGACTAGACTATAGACTAGACTATAGACTAGACTATAGACTAGACTATAGACTAGACTATAGACTAGACTATAGACTAGACTATAGACTAGACTATAGACTAGACTATAGACTAGACTATAGACTAGACTATAGACTAGACTATAGACTAGACTATAGACTAGACTATAGACTAGACTATAGACTAGACTATAGACTAGACTATAGACTAGACTATAGACTAGACTATAGACTAGACTATAGACTAGACTAGACTATAGACTAGACTATAGCTAGACTATAGACTAGACTATAGACTAGACTATAGACTAGACTATAGACTAGACTATAGACTAGGACTATAGACTAGACTATAGACTAGACTATAGACTAGACTATAGACTAGACTATAGACTAGACTATAGACAGACTATAGACTAGACTATAGACTAGACTATAGACTAGACTATCGACTAGACTATAGACAGACTATAGACTAGATATAGACTAGACTATAGATAGACTATAGACTAGACTTAGACTAGACTATAGACTTAGAATAGACTAGACTATAGACTAGACTATAGACTAGACTATAGACTAGACTATAGACTAGACTATAGACTAGATATAGACTAGACTATAGACTAGGACTATAGACTAGACTAGACTATAGACTAGACTAGGACTATAGACTAGACTAGACTAGACTAGACTAGACTATAGACTAGACTAGACTATAGACTAGACTAGACTACTAGACTAGACTAGACTATAGACTAGACTAGACTATAGACTAGACTATAGACTAGACTATAGACTAGACTAGACTATAGACTAGACTAGACTATAGACTAGACTAGACTAGACTAGACTAGACTAGACTATAGACTAGACTAGACTATAGACTAGACTAGACTATAGACTAGACTAGACTATAGACTAGACTAGACTAGACTAGACTATAGACTAGACTAGACTAGACTAGACTAGACTATAGACTAGACTATAGACTAGACTATAGACTAGACTATAGACTAGACTATAGACTAGACTATAGACTAGACTATAGACTAGACTATAGACTAGACTATAGACTAGACTATAGACTAGACTATAGACTAGACTATAGACTAGACTATAGACTAGACTATAGACTAGACTATAGACTAGACTATAGACTAGACTATAGACTAGAGTGTTGCGCTGGAAACGTGAGTGTCGTGTGAGAAAAATTGTCGAACGCTTAATTGTTTTGGAGGAGGAATATTTTGAAAGAGTTACATATCCACCGCAATTAATACAAAAATTCGATAGCTTATTTTTTCTGAAATACGCCAGTGTTTGGTTGCAGTCTCTATCGATTATGTATATAGTCTACCGATATGTCATTAGTACCTCGGGCTGGTGGTATCTGACATTTTTTTATGTGGTGATTGTTTTAAATATTTTACATGGTGTAGTAATGCATTTCTATATGTGTCTGCTCTATATCGGATCAAGATTCTATATAATCAACTATCGTTTGGAGGAAATTTATGTGACTATAGTAAGAGTGAGCTCATGGAGATCACAGCGCTCTCAACAGCAAATGCAAAAAGCCTTGGCTGCTGAAATGGACTGTATTACTTATATACACTGTAATCTCATGAATATAGTGGGTGAATTAAATGATTCCTATATGTTTCAAATTTTAACTGTTTTAATGACTCATATATTCAATAATACCGCCATGGGTTATTATGGTCTAATGATGTGTATAGACTTCTTTAAATTCAACTTGTCTTATTATGATCTCATCATAGGAAGTTTTAGTTATTGCTGTTTGGTATTGGATTTGTATTTGCTGGATGTTAATTGTAATACCGTGCAAAGCTCATATAATATCACGGGTTCTATTGTAAAACAATTTTCGGAATTTCCCGAAATGGAAGAAAGTTTGAGAAAAAGTGTAAGTTTGTGAATATTTTTCTAAATATATAGCTTAAAATATTTTTCAATTACAGTGCGAACTATTGTCTTTACATTTGGTACAAAGAAGACTTTTCATTAATATTTGCGGCATGTTTAATCTAAATAAGCACACTTCGTTTGTTATGTTTGGTTTCACCATACGTCAGGTATTGATTTTGGTACAAAATGATGTGGCCATATCTATACGTTACCTTAAAGATTCTCATGATGTGGGTCAGATTTTACAGAAGGAATTTAAAAAAGCTTTTAATGTAATGAACGAAGCGTCCCAGGAGTAAATAGTTTTTGGAAAAATATTTAATAAATATATTGTTATTTGTTGTATCTAAGTAAATCCAATAATTAAATCATAACGCATAATTTTTCTTTAAGAAAACGCTCTACTATTATAGGTTTCCATAGTCTAGTCTATCGTCTAGTCTATCGTCTAGTCTATAGTCTAGTCTATAGTCTAGTCTATAGTCTAGTCTATAGTCTAGTCTATAGTCTAGTCTATAGTCTAGTCTATAGTCTAGTCATAGTCTAGTCTATAGTCTAGTCTATAGTCTAGTCTATAGTCTAGTCTATAGTCTAGTCTATAGTCTAGTCTATAGTCTAGTCTATAGTCTAGTCTATAGTCTAGTCTATAGTCTAGTCTATAGTCTAGTCTATAGTCTAGTCTATAGTCTAGTCTATAGTCTAGTCTATAGTCTAGTCTATAGTCTAGTCTATAGTCTAGTCTATAGTCTAGTCTATAGTCTAGTCTATAGTCTAGTCTATAGTCTAGTCTATAGTCTAGTCTATAGTCTAGTCTATAGTCTAGTCTATAGTCTAGTCTATAGTCTAGTCTATAGTCTAGTCTATAGTCTAGTCTATAGTCTAGTCTATAGTCTAGTCTATAGTCTAGTCTATAGTCTAGTCTATAGTCTAGTCTATAGTCTAGTCTATAGTCTAGTCTATAGTCTAGTCTATAGTCTAGTTTAGTCTATAGTCTAGTCTATAGTCTAGTCTATAGTCTAGTTTAGTCTATAGTCTAGTCTATAGTCTAGTCTATAGTCTAGTCTATAGTCTAGTCTATAGGCTAGTTTAGTCTATAGTCTAGTCTATAGTCTAGTCTATAGTCTAGTCTATAGTCTAGTCTATAGTCTAGTCTATAGTCTAGTCTATAGTCTAGTCTATAGTCTAGTCTATAGTCTAGTCTATAGTCTAGTCTATAGTCTAGTCTATAGTCTAGTCTATAGTCTAGTCTATAGTCTAGTCTATAGTCTAGTCTATAGTCTAGTCTATAGTCTAGTCTATAGTCTAGTCTATAGTCTAGTCTATAGTCTAGTCTATAGTCTAGTCTATAGTCTAGTCTATAGTCTAGTCTATAGTCTAGTCTATAGTCTAGTCTATAGTCTAGTCTATAGTCTAGTCTATAGTCTAGTCTATAGTCTAGTCTATAGTCTAGTCTATAGTCTAGTCTATAGTCTAGTCTATAGTCTAGTCTATAGTCTAGTCTATAGTCTAGTCTATAGTCTAGTCTATAGTCTAGTCTATAGTCTAGTCTATAGTCTAGTATAGTCTAGTCTATAGTCTAGTCTATAGTCTAGTCTGTAGTCTAGTCTATAGTCTAGTCTATAGTCTAGTCTATAGTCTAGTCTATAGTCTAGTCTATAGTCTAGTCTATAGTCTAGTCTATAGTCTAGTCTATAGTCTAGTCTATAGTCTAGTCTATAGTCTAGTCTATAGTCTAGTCTATAGTCTAGTCTATAGTCTAGTCTATAGTCTAGTCTATAGTCTAGTCTATAGTCTAGTCTATAGTCTAGTCTATAGTCTAGTCTATAGTCTAGTCTATAGTCTAGTCTATAGTCTAGTCTATAGTATAGTCTAGTCTATAGTCTAGTCTATAGTCTAGTCTATAGTCTAGTCTATAGTCTAGTCTATAGTCTAGTCTATAGTCTAGTCTATAGTCTAGTCTATAGTCTAGTCTATAGTCTAGTCTATAGTCTAGTCTATAGTCTAGTCTATAGTCTAGTCTATAGTCTAGGTCTATAGTCTAGTCTATAGTCTAGTCTATAGTCTAGTCTATAGTCTAGTCTATAGTCTAGTCTATAGTCTAGTCTATAGTCTAGTCTATAGTCTAGTCTATAGTCTAGTCTATAGTCTATAGTCTAGTCTATAGTCTAGTCTATAGTCTAGTCTATAGTCTAGTCTATAGTCTAGTCCTATAGTCTAGTCTATAGGCTAGTCTATAGTCTAGTCTATAGTCTAGTCTATAGTCTATCTATAGTCCTAGTCTATAGTCTAGTCTATAGTCTAGTCTATAGTCTAGTCTATAGTCTAGTCTATAGTCTAGTCTATAGTCTAGTCTATAGTCTAGTCTATAGTCTAGTCTATAGTCTAGTCTATAGTCTAGTCTATAGTCTAGTCTATAGTCTATCTATAGTCCTAGTCTATAGTCTAGTCTATAGTCTAGTCTATAGTCTAGTCTATAGTCTAGTCTATAGTCTAGTCTATAGTCTAGTCTATAGTCTAGTCTATGTCTAGTCTATAGTCTAGTCTATAGTCTAGTCTATAGTCTAGTCTATAGTCTAGTTCTATAGTCTAGTCTATAGTCTAGTCTATAGTCTATCTATAGTCTAGTCTAGTAGTCTAGTCTATAGTCTGTCTTAGTCTAGGTCTATAGTCTAGTCTATAGTCTAGTCTATAGTCTAGTCCTATTAGTCTAAGTCTATATCTAGTCTATAGTCTAGTCTATAGTCTAGTCTATAGTCTAGTCTATAGTCTAGTCTATAGTCTAGTCTATAGTCTAGTCTATAGTCTAGTCTATAGTCTAGTCTATAGTCTAGTCTATAGTCTAGTATATAGTCTAGTCTATAGTCTAGTCTATAGTCTAGTCTATAGTCTAGTCTATAGTATAGGCTGTAGTCTAGTCTATAGTCTAGTCTATAGTCTAGTCTATAGTCTAGTCTATAGTCTAGTCTATAGTCTAGTCTATAGTCTAGTCTATAGTCTAGTCTATAGTCTAGTCTATAGTCTAGTCTATAGTCTAGTCTATAGTCTAGTCTATAGTCTAGTCTATAGTCTAGTCTATAGTCTAGTCTATAGTCTAGTCTATAGTCTAGTCTATAGTCTAGTCTATAGTCTAGTCTATAGTCTAGTCTATAGTCTAGTCTATAGGCAAGTCTATAGTCTAGTCTATAGGCAAGTCTATATTCTAGTCTATAGTCTAGTCTATAGGCAAGTCTATATTCTAGTCTATAGTCTAGTCTATAGTATAGGCTGTAGGCTAGTATATAGTCTAGTCTATAGTATAGTATGTAGTCTAGTATATAGTCTAGTCTATAGTCTATTTTATACTCTGTTCTGTAGTCAAGTCTAGTTTAGACCAGTCTATAGTATAGTATGTAGTCTAGTATATAGTCTAGTCTACAGTCTATTTTATACTCTGTTCTGTAGTCAAGTCTAGTTTAGACCAGTCTATAGTCTATTGTCTAGTTATGTCAGTTTGTTTTTTTTTATAATTTTTTCCAGGAATATACATCCTGTTGCAATGCCACATAATTGAATTTTAGCATCCAGTGTAACCAAGTTTATACTAATAATTATCTAATTAATTGACGTCAAGATAATCTACATTAATTATATATTAATGTAGTTGTATATGAATGACAGGTCTTTAAACATGCGATACGTTCAATATTTATTCGTTTACTTGGCTATTTTTATGGCATTTGGCTGGGTTTACAGCAATTCGAATAGTCTAGACTAGACTTTTGATTATACTATAGGATAGACTATAGACTAGACTATAGAATAAACTGTATAATAGACTATATTTAAGATGATAGACTAGACTGTAGATTAGGCTATAAACTAGACTATAGACCAGACTATGTATAACACTAGACTTTAGACTAAATTTCATTTCTTATTGAGGTATCATACCCTTTATATTGGAAACATATTATTTTGCCATATTAATTGCATAACTTCGATAAATAAGTTTTCTATAGAAAGCTGACTTAGAAAAGTATTGTTGTTATAACTATTGTATGGAATGTACATCCTGTAAAAATGCCACATAATTAAATATTAACTGACTGACAGTGTTACCAAGTTTATAGTAAATTTATCTAATTAATTGAATTTCAGATAATCTAGTTAGTAGTACTAACATGTTAAACGATTTAGCCACAATTATCCACTCAGTATTGGACGAGTCTTTAAACATGCGATACTGGAAATATTTTATGGTTTACTTTGCCATGTTTTATGGCATTTGGTTGGGTTTTACAACAATTCGAATTGATTTAAAAACTAGAAAATTGAAAGTATCAAAATTCTTAAATATATTTATGACCATAAGCAGTTTATTATTCTTATACGCTTTGCCGCATGCAGTTAAAGTTAATTTGAGTCATATTCAGCTGAATGTGAAAAATCCTTTGATTGCTTATGCTTTTGCTACTACCATTTATTTGCGTTTTATAATTATGTTCTTGGTCATCTTGATGAGAAGAGGACGAGATAAAGATATGGAGAAATGGTTCGAGAAGTTATTGTTAATACAGACTGCATATTTTGATCGCTTTAAATATATACCAGCCGATACTAGCCTGCGCAAATGGGTGTTTATAAATGGATTTATTATGTTTTTACATGGTATTTCCTTATTTGTAAATCTTTATGAATTGTATATATCCCAAGAAATGTGGCGTTTTTTTGACATGTATTTGCTATGCGGCATTATTAACTTACAACACTATATTTTGTGGTATCATGAAGTCCTATTATGTCACATACATGAATGCAGCTCGAAATTAAATTATCAATTACAAAACAATGAAATGGATCCAAAATTAAGTTTAATATATTTTCAATTGACTGAATTAATAAGGGAACTGAACATTATCTACAGTCCTGTTATTGTGTGGACTCAGCTATCGCTGATAATAACAAATTCCATTGTGGGTTATGTAGTAATTATATATTTTACAACTGAAAATGAAAAACTGAACTCATACGACTATATGCTAGGTGGAAAACTCTATATAATGCTATGCATACATATGTACTTGTATTTTCTGTTATGTGATCGAGTGATAAATACAATACGAAAAACTTCTTGGATTTTAAGGTGTTTCACTGCTAAAGATGAAAATGACCAAGAAGTAAGTTAAATTTACTTTTTAGTTTCATTCTTATTTAACTAAGTTAATTATTCATTACAGATTGAATTAGTTTCATTAAATCTTGCTGTATTCAAAGTAAATATCAATATTAGAGGAATGTTTAATATTGACTTGAAATGTTT